TCAGCACAAGTTACCTGACCTGGCTCCAAGATTTTCTTTGCTTTGTATAAGGAAAGCAACCCTGCTTTAACCCATCAGCAAACACCCAGGGTAACTTCCTTATTCCTACTCACTTTGGTCTATAAAAATTGCTCACCTTCTACCGCTCTTTAGAGATCTTTTTTATCTGCTACATTGGATGCTGCCCCATTCAAGAACTGCTGAATTTTTATTAGATCTGTAAATTGTGGAAATTTTTCTTTGAACAGTTCATATGGACTGGATCCAGAAGTTCTCTTCTATCCTCCCTTGGTGGAGACTAGATGACTCTGCAGACTTGTCACCTGCAGACAACCATGAGGTTGTCAGATCCCGATGAAGAGAGGAAGTCACAACTACGTTTGGGAATGGCTACCTTCAGCCACAGGAGGACCCTCGCCATGGATGGGCATTTTCTCCGCCCCACATCATTCTTTGATTCCATTCTGAATCCATTCTCTGGAGCCGCTCTCAGGCTTCCACTGGCCAGTGATGACATGAGGATCTTGATGATAACTCAGGTTGGCATGTGCTCCTAAGAGAGGAGACCCAGGAAAATGTCTGCCTGAATCCTTGACCCCCTTATGATTCTTCAGTTCCCTCTGGTTCTGTTTCAAGGCTGAAGATGGTACCTGACCTGGGTGGGTGCAGGTGGTTAGGAAGAGGAAACCGGACAGGAATGTATGGGTTGATCCTGTGTTTGCGGGAAACGGGACTGGTTCTGCAGCAATTAGAAACTGTTTAGAAGATTGTGAGGCTTCCTGGAAGTTGCCTGCTGCTATCCATGGGCAGGGCTGGCTGACAGAATCACGCTAGTATGGTATGCTACATCGGCTGGTGCTGGCTCCTCCACAGACAGTCATGTCCTCTGGATCCTGACCAAAGTCTGTTCCTCTTACCACCTTCCTTCTGAACCCGTGCTTACTATTCATCCTTGTGATCAGAATGTGGCTTCTGTGTACTGAATCCGTATGAGGGTTTCATTCACCTGACAGTTATATGCAGCAGATCTTTTTTCAAAACCTGACATCAAGGCACTCTATAAATTTGATTCATGTGTGTATACAAGTCTTCCTGAGTGGGGTTAACCACAGGTTCTCTGGCGGTAAAAAACGAGTTTTTGGAATAGCAGGTCTGAGGACCCACCCTGGGGCCATGGTGTAGACACCGGTCATGGCAGCCATTGAGCCTTCTCATAGTCACATCCTGGTATTACTTCCCCAAATGCATGTAATCTGAGGTTTTATTCATTTTTTCAAATTAATTGGAGAGATGCACATTTCTTGGGGAGAAAAGAATGGCAGAGGCTTCTAACCCACTGTTAATTGGGATTTCACTAAAATAGAGCAGGCATTTGGCAAATGGGGAGAGAGGGAGGAAAGAAGAAGGGAGAGAAGAGAAGGGAGAAAGGAAGAAAAAGGAGGGTGTTGGAGGGAAGCTTATTTCCTGAACACAGAGTCATTCGAGGATATCATGTGCAGCAAATTAAACGATCCTTCAGCAAGAATTTTGACAAGAAAATTTCATTAGGGATTTAAATCTCTATGGAAGCTCAAGTTGCTGCATTAAGATATGAAAATTGTGCAAATATTGTTCCTTAGAATAATGTTTGCTGCAGGTCATTGAGTTTCAGTCAATGAAATGGAGAGTGATAAATGTCACAGTGGCAATAACGGGAGGAAGGAGGGGTGGTGGGGGGGAAGGGAGAGCCCAGCAGTCGAAGGCTCAGGCCCTGGAGTCATCTGGATCAGCAGTGAGACTCCAGCATTAACTAGCTGCGTGACCTTGAGCAAGTTTAACACCTCTGAGGCCTAATTTCCTCATCTATAAAATGTGAGCAGTTGCCAGTCACTCTGCTAGACTGTGACTGTGAGGGTTTAATGAGATAATCCAAGTAAGGCCCCCTGGCACACTGCCGGGCACACGTGGGCTCTGAACACATATTCATGTGATTATACTGATGAGTCAAGGCGGTGGGCTAATGTTCATCCGGCACTGACTTCTCATCAGTCTGGGTTATAGCAACCTATAGCAATAATAATCATCTTTTTCTGGGTGAAAGCCTGAGGCTCAGGGGCCAAGTGAATCTGCCAAGGTCACAGGGGTGTAAGTGCTTCCATTAGAATAATGCCCATGCTTATGTATCAATGTGTTTTTCTCCCTCACTAGATAGCAGGGGCCTCAGAGCCTAAACTCTGTGTGTACCTTTGTACTAACAGAATCTGGCCAGTTAGATGGTCCTTGGTGGATGCTCAGAAAATACCGGTGGGGTGAATTCAGGACTGCATAAATAAATGGAGGCACGAGTGCATAAATGGTGCTATCATGCTTTTCCCATTTATTTTATTTTATTATTTTTAAAAAGATTTTATTTATTTGACAGAGAGAGAGAGAGCACAAGTGGAGGGAGCAGCAGAGGGAGAGGGAGAAGCAGGCTCCCCGCTGAGCAGGGACACAGGGCTCGATCCCAGGACCCTGGGATCATGACCTGAGCCGAAGGCAGATGCTTAACCAACTGAGCCACCCAGGCACCCCTCCTTTCCCCATTTGAACTCTGTCTCCATGGGGACTCATCCATTGGGTTTCTCAATGCTTTATTTTTTAGTTTTTATTTCAAGGCTTTCTGGAGCTCTGACTCACATAATCTTATGCCATTTTATAGGAAACAGGAGAACAAGGGGGAAAAAAATCCATATACTTCCACAACCCAAATACTGAAAGTTCCCTCTCAGCATTTCAGGATATATATATATTTTTTTCTACCATTGGACCAAGGGATGTTCCTACTGCAATTTTATATGAAAATAATTTTCTATGTTGCTGTTTCACCTAATAGGAATATTTCTTACAGGTATCATTTTAATGATAATTTAATAGAACATTATAGATATGCCATATGATATTTCACTTAAACATAGTTTTGCTGTTGGTTTTCAGCATGTGTCCATTTTTTCACCAATAGAAATACAGCTGCACTAAATATTTTTACACATATAAGACCTAGGTTTTCAGGCTAGTGACTGTGGTTATGAGATCAGTTTTCTTGAAGGAGCACAATCCTACTGGTAGGCCTCATCCTCAATTTTGCAGAGATGGACTATGATATCTAAGTGGATGGCAAGGGTTTTATTAGATTGTCTAAAGAGAGATTATTTCACCTATTTTGTATCATATGCGAGCCCTGCCCCCATACTTGTCCTCTATCCTATTGATAGATATTCCATGGCTATATATGACAAGTAAAAAGGAAGGAAGGAGAGAAAGAAGGAAGAAAGGAAGGAAAGAGGGAGGGAGAAGGAGAGGGAGGGAAGGGAAGGAAGAAGCCTAAAGGGAAGATATAATGAAAAAAACAGAAAGGAAAGGGAGAAGAGAAAGGAAGTAAAGAGAAAAGAAAGAAGAGGGGAAAACAGAGGGAAACTAGGTACATCAGCCAAAATAAAAAAAAAAGAGGAAACAAGAAGAAAGAAATTAGCAAGCCCATTCTTCCATGGGCTTTGCAATATTCCAAATCCACGTCCCCAACCACAACCATAGGTTTGAGACATCCGCTTAGAGAGCGGAAAAATCTCAAGATGAAACAAATATAACACACTCTAGTAACTGTCCCCTATTAAGGTGATTCCTAGACACCAGTGCAGGGAGAGTTACATTTGCAAGGAAATGAGTAGGTAAGATTGTATGGTAGCTCATCTTGCCAAGATAAAACACAATTAAATGAAATTAAACAGGGGCGCCTGGGGTGGCTCAGTCGTTAAGCGTCTGCCTTCGGCTCAGGTCATGATCCCAGGGTCCTGGGATCGAGCCCAGCATCGGGCTCCCTGCTCAGCGGGAAGCCTGCTTCTCCCTCTCCCATTCCCCCTGCTTGTGTTCCCTCTCTCACTGTGTCTCTGTCAAATAAATAAATAAATAATCTAAAAGAAAAAAAGAAGAAATTAAACTTTTCCTTTTCAAAAACTTTGCATTTCCGAGGGAAATGTAGGTTAAAATTTGGCGCCCAGGGTGGGGTGGGGTACAAAATGCAAAATATGCATTTTGAGAAGATGTTGAAAGATAGTTAGACATGTTCATTATACAGCAATGTGCTCACAACAGGACAACTTCTGTCTGTCATCAATACACAATATTTTGTTGAAGTTTGTCTTATGCATGTTCGGTATTCAAAAAACCATAACATTGCCTTTGTAATTTGGAAATGCCTGTCATGATTCTCACTGAACTAAATTACTGAATCGATAAAAATCTCCTTTCCATAGTGGTGATTCAATTGTAGCAGTCATTGAAAGAGCAGAAGATTATTTACAAATAAAGCAAAAAATTCATATTTGACTAGAATTGGTCAGAGTAGTATCAAATGTTACCTTTTACTTCATATAGAAACAAAAAACTAAGGATTAGCAATATTTCTTAGTGGCACATTATCTTCTTTCATGAATGAAAAAAAGAATTTGCCAACTGTCCAGGAATCAGTGATATGCAAATAGTGTTGCTAAAGATGGGTTTTTTTACAGTTTAAAAACTTCTTATATAATTTTAGATGCCTATTTTCTTACTTTAGTAAGTACGGTAAAGGTTAATAGGCTTGATATTAACACAGTTCCAAGCAAAGGGTAAGAACCAATGAGACTGTAGTTTCCATAACATTCTGTTAGGTCAATAATGAGCTCTGTTCTGTTTCTATTTCCTTGCTTTCATAATGGGTGGTGGGGGGAGTTTGAAAGCTAAGGGAGCAGGGTTTGCTGGAGTTTCCAGTGCAGGTCAGTGGCAGAGCTGAATCGAGACCAGGTCCCATCTCAGGAGAAGACCAGACCTAGACTTAGACCAAGATAGTTCTGAGCGAGAGCTTTGAACGTTAACGCCTGTCCCTTGGCAGCATTCAGAGACAAATGACCGAAATACAGCCTTCAGCTGAGTTAGCAACCGTTGCTCAGAGTAAGCACTGCCTACATATTGTGTTAGAGAAAGAAGAAAAATGCTTGACCTACTTGGATCCGATAAGATGGAATCAGTTTTCGGCAGAAATTGATCACAGCGGACTCCTTGGTAGCCTTCTTTGCACCTGAGACAAGGGGATAAATGACAAACATACGCATGTGGTTGTGAAAGATTTCAACAAGCAAAATAGCCATCAATTACACAAATGTGAGAACAGTACATCCATGCTTTTGCATTGTTTGATTCAGTCTTCTAACACTGACAGACGGATTTTAGCCTATTTACGTGCAGAAAACCCACCACGGCTTTGCTTTTTTAGTTTTAGACGGAATACCTAACGAGCAAATTGAATAGCATTTTAAGATGGCCCTCGAAGCAATGTGAGTAATAGTTATCTTCAGATTCTAATTCTGAATGCAGGTATATGCAGGTCTTTTCTTTATTCAATGCACTAGTCTCTCAAAGGCTGCAAATACCCTTTCGGTAGCATATTTTAAGGGTCATTTTGCTAATAAAAAATCATTTTCTGATATGTGATCAAATCTAATCAGATTTGGCTACTGTTTATCTTCCTCGTGTTTTATTAGTTTGTTCATTTGCTAATTTTACCTTTTTTTTTTTTTGATGTAGCTATTCTTCAAGTCAGCATCGCTTAACTGCTTGGCCAGAAAAAACAGCATTTATTTTAGATCTGCTAAGATCTGAAAGGCATCTATGTCTACATGCAAGGTCTCTGTGCATTCCCTCTAAACTCATATTTTTCCCTCCTTATTTTTCTCTTTTATATTCACAAACATGTGCAAACACTGGACAAGGCAACTTTCCTGAGGTGGGTGCAATTTGGAGGCCAGGAATATGCCTGAAAGCACCCGCAATGAGGCACGTCACCTCAGCCCTGCCAGTCCTCTGTCGAGTCTTCACACAGCTCACTCCTTCAGGGCTGCGTGGCCACCTCAGACATCCTTGGCTCATCAGCTGGCAGTTCAAGGAACAAACACAGGCGATGCCCCCACGCCTGCCTCTGTAAGCGGGGTGGTGGCATTTAGTGGTCTGCTGGAAGCTTAATCTGTCATGCTCGAGTTAAGCACGGGAGCATCCATTGTTGCTTGTGGGATGAATCTGTCCTACTTACACAGGAGGAAATTGTGCTGCTAGCATAAAAATCAGATTTAAAAAACAATCCTCTGGTTGTTAGAAATCTATGAAATCGACAAAAGAATTCCAAGAGACTGTTCTGTAAGAAACGAGAGCTGTGAATTCTTTCTGAAGAATATGCTTTGTTTTTTGGGTGTAATAAAGTATTAGATAAGGTCTGTTGCAGTGGGAGCAGCAGCTGAAGGGCGTGGAGGTAATTTTACTACCTTTCATTGTGAGCCAAATTGGAAGTCAGGTGACCGGGCAGGCTCTCGTTAGCACCTTTCTTAAGCCTGGCATTCTGGAGTGTATTTGGCAATTTTCCTCGTTGACTAAGAACAAAGACTCCCGATATATGGATACCCCAGATACCCAACAGGCTATTGAAAAAATTTGTTTGAGCAGCCACATATTTTCATAACTTTTTTTAAATTCATTTATTGCACTTGAAATAAAGCAGGCATATCACTCGGTCTGTAATGGTAGAAAGTCAGAAAATACTTAGGACCGAATCACATTTGTTATGAAAAAATAAACTCCTGCTCTCCAAAAGCGGTCGTACAGCTAGCTGTTCGTGTGCCTTTATTCAGAATTACCAGAACCACAGTGCTTTAATCTTCATTTCCCCAGAAACGATGAGTTATGGGCTGGGTGTGTGCTATGGTGCGCATTCACGTTTTTGAGGTTTTATTTCCAACATATGTGGGAGATTTGAAGCGTACTTTTCTCTTTTACTCTTTGCATCTTCATTTAATATGAAAATGGTTCCTAGGGAGATGGCTGCTTTTAAGGGAAAGTGCTTTTTTGTTTTGTTTTGTTTTGCTTTTTAAGGGGTTCTTCGTTACTTACAATGCATTATTCCATTTGTCTGTGGAAACTATGAAAAGATGTTTGACATTTTTCTAGGCTTAAACTGCTTTCCTGTGGGTGTGCGCCCACTTTGAAGAGCTCAGGCCTCATGGGGTATATCTGGAAAACAGCACAGCAAGGGCCTTCAATGCGGCTTCATCCCTGTGTGCTGCAGATAGTCAATGATGATGCTGGAGGAGACCAAGCCAGGCTAGGAAACCCCCCATAGGCTCTGTGACTGGCTACGTAGCCAGTCCTGCTCCTTTGTTAAGCAGGCAGTGTCTCTGCTAATTGGTTGCTGGGTTTTAAGAATGACACATTAAAATTTCCATTTGAAAATCACACATATGTTACCTTGGTAAGTTCAGACCCATTCAGATATGAAGACCGAATGGGCCAGCAGGTAATGCCAATGCATCAGATTGAATTCATGATGATATTAAAGACATAAAGCAAAGCAAAAAAAAAAAAAAAGTCAAGATGCACATCTATTGCACTGATGGAGTTTGGTGGGCTTCTTTGGAGAAATATCATTGTATGTTTATTTTGGTTTTGGTTAGTCTTGGGAGGATTTTGAGAGTGTTTTTGTTCATTTTTTAAAGATGTTTGCTTTTTGAAGAATACAGGTATAAGTAAAACAGAAATTCATATAATAAAAAGGTATTTGTTCATCTAAGATAGCATGACAGAATTTATAAAATTTTAAAAATACATGTGTAATCTAATGATAAATGTTTTTTAAAAAGCACAAATCTTCTCTTCCCTAGGTTAATATTCTATTTCTTTTCCTATTCTTCATTGCTTTCAAATCTCCATTCAATTCATCCAGTCCCTGTTCTATGAATTTCTTTATCCCTTAGAAACATCATATCACAGTGATTGTATTTTTAAAAATCCCAATATTCCCTGGTGGTTTTCCAGGTAAGTTCTGATTCTACAGCTGAATGGTGTAGGAAGAGGGAGTAGGCTCAGGACAGGAAATACAGTCAAGGATCACAAATAGTTATATAAAGAAAATGGGAGAATTATTATCAACAGTGAAACAACCACAGAACACACTCAGTCTGTAAGAGCTAAGACATTTTACCTTGAAAAAAAATTAGTCTTAAATTCTGTGTTTATCTACTCTGTGGTGAAGGAGAGGTCACTTCTGAAACCAGTAAGTTCTTGATCATGTTGTTTGCTTTATTTCCAAATTTAAAAGGCAGAAGGGAAGGACATAGTTGAGGAAACAATGCCCAAAGCAAGGTAGGGCAGGTAAGAGGTTGAAGGGAGATTGTATTAGGGTAACCATGGATAAGAGACCTCAGGCTGGCAATGAAGTGGGGGGAAGAGCTTGGAGACCGAGCCCAGTATCTCTCTGCTGGTGAGCCTCAGGGCTGAATCACAAATGAGGGTCCTGACTGTCTACAGGGATAGGGCCCGTTGTGTAGTTTCAAATGCAGACATCTCTTTTTCTACTTTTTATATCCTTCCAGCTTGACCCTCACCCCCCCATCTCAGTTGTTCAGCTGTATCTAAAATAACAAGTTCTCCTTTCTATTCATCTTTCCTCATCTATATTATCCCTGAGAAAAAGCCCAGTTTTACTGAAAAGTTCTAAAAAACAATCCTTGGGTGAAAGAGAAGAAGAGAATAATACCGGCAAAGATGAGAAAATATAACATGCATGATTGTTAGCTGGATTTCAATACTTGCTTTGTCTGATGTGGTAAAGAAGAAGTGGTCAACACATCACCCAGCCTGGATGTGAAGGACCCAAAGGAAGGGACTTGTAAAATGGTCAATGACTAGCTGATGTTCCCACAGAAATCCCACTGCTAACTTCAGACCATTCCCATCTCCTCTCTCATAATACTCTATGCCAGCTGATTTCTTTGAACCCATTTCTTGAGTAACAACTACACTAGTGCTTAATAATATTAGTGACTTTGAGTGAAAATTAAAGAACTCTCACTTGTGACCAACAGCCTCCCTACATTTCCAGAGGATTCTTCCATTTTCCCTCTTCCTTTTGTTGGAAAAACAAAACAAAATAACACAAAAACAACCCGAAAACTGTTCCACTGAGGGAACTGTACTAGCTTTACTCCTCATTTGTTGATTTCCTGGTCATATACTCATTAATGGAAGGCGTCATCATTGTTTCACTGCGCTGTTCTCCAGTCCTACTCTGTTTTTATTGTGAGGGTATTGATTATGCACACGGATGGCCCAGCCAATACACGGTCTCTAAGCACATGTCTTCCTCTTGTTTATCATAATGATTTACAGTGCTGAGTTTACAGTCTCACTTCTCTGCTTAGTATTTGCGTGGATGTACTTTACGCAAATCATTTAACATCCCTGTTTCCCAGTTTCAACCCAAATAAAACATGAGCGATGCCAGGAAGGAGAAAAATGAACAAGCACACATAGTTGATATTCTACAATTGCATTTTGGCCATTTTTATGACTACAGGCCTTATACCTGCCATATCTTCAAAGATGTATTTGACATAATTTATAGAGAGAAACGTATGAAGGATAGAAACATGTTCAGATGTTTGCTTCAATCCCTGTGTAGTGCCTGGTCTCTGCATTCACTTTAGAGAAAGTATACATTGCTTTCTTGTTGGAAACTTGATTTTAGACATAAAATTTGAACTAGCGGAAATCAATTAACTTCACAAGAGAAAAGGTGGCAAAATGTGTGGGTTGTTTCCTGCCCGTATCAACTTACATTCATAAAAAAAATGACAATTACTCTTTGATGTTACAGGAAAGTAGACACTTTGTCAGTGATACACAAGTCTGACAATTTTAAGGAGCCTATTAACACTGATTTGAAAAAAGAACAACCCCTCCAGGTATTCTTCTCTATCTCCTGCCAATTCTCTTCAGCCTCAATGTCAGACCTTGGTTGGGGAAAACGGAAAGATCATTCGGCATTTAAACTTTACATTTTGGAGGCAGGCTGGTTTGGAGCGCTGCCTGGTTTTAAATCCAGGATCAGCTGTTTGCTGGCTTCTGTGCCTCCTTCCATTCATATGTAAAATGGAGGTAAGAACAGTAGCTCTCGCTTAGAATTATTATTAAGAATAAATTATATAATACCTGCGGTTCATGGTAAGCACTCAATAAATGTTTGGTTTTGTTTTT